CCCCCCCCCCCCCGGAGCCTTTTAAAACATCATCACTCAACTCGTATTTATCAAACTCCCCCCCCCCCCACCCCTCCCTCCCCCCCCCCCCCCCCCCCTCCTCTTGCCCCCTACCAGCCATTGATCAAATGGCGAGTGATCCCACGACGACCACGCCCACCACGACGACCATGCCCACCACGACGACCATGCCCACCACGACAACGGAACCTACCACGACGACGACCGCCAGCACCAATGCAGTGGCTGTGGATGACCCTATCCCGCCACTGGTCACGGTGACGGCAGCTGCAGGCACGGCATTGGCTCGGGCAGAGGCACTGGCGGCGGCGGCGGCTGCAGGCGATGGCACCCATGGAGGGACGCTGTCTAAGCGGGCGGCGAAGCGGAAGCGGCGGGCGGAAGAGAATGCGGCGCGAAAGGCGGAGAAGCGAAAGATGCAGAAAATTCGGCGGAAGGAGCTGCGGAAGCGGGCAAAGTTGCTCGGCAAGGAGGTGCCATCGGCCAAGCCCGGCCCATGGAGCGACAGCAAGCTGACGGGCGTGACGGTGGTTGTGGACCTGACCTTTGATCGCCTTATGCGCCCGCACGAGATCAAGTCCATGACCAACCAGCTGATGCAGTGCTACGGGAAGAACAGGCGGGCACCGGCACCGGCTACTCTCGTCCTCGCCGCCCCGGACGATCCGGCCGAAGCGCCGGTCATCGAGCGGCTGCACAACACCATGCAGATCGTGCCCAAGAATGGGTGGGGCCTCTGGTCGCCACCGCCGGGCAACGAGCGCACCTCGCTCAATGGGTTGTACTTTGCTAGGGGCCCTGATCTGCTCTCTGCCCTCGCCGAGGACGACCTCTCGTCGCTGGTCTACCTCACGCCAGACACCGAGAACGACATCGATTCGTTTGAAGTCGGCAAGAAGTACATCATCGGCGGCTTTGTCGACAAGAACAGGTTCAAGGGCATCACCGCCGAAAAGGCTGACACGCTGGGCATTGCTAAAGCCCGCCTGCCCATTGGCCCGTACATCGCCCAGGGCTCCCGCCAGGTCATCACCGTCAACCAGGTCTTTGAGATCATCCTCGCCTTCCTCGAGCTTAACGACTGGGAGGCCGCCTTTTTCCGCGTCGTCCCCAAGCGCAAGCGCGCTCCCGGAAGCTCAAGGGCCGCCCCTGCTGCCGCCCCCGCCCCTGCTGCCGCCCCTGCTGCCGCCCCTGCTGCTCCTGCCGCTGTCGCCACCGCTGCCGCCCCTGCTGCTACCACTGCCGACCCTGCTGCTGCTCCCGCTGCCGCCCCTGCTGCCGTCCCCGCCCCCGCCCCCGCTCCCACTGCTGCTTCCGCGGCCTCTCCCCCAGCCACTGCGCCGGCTGCCATGGACGAGACATCGTAACACTCATGGTTTACACAGCGCCTACACCAGGACGTCGCCGACGCCGAGCTGCGACTTGTAGAAGAGGACAAACTTGCGATCGCCCCGGACCTGCGAGTGCATGAGGTGGTGGTGCGAGAGAGGGCGGGCGTCGACGAGGGCGGTGAGCTGCGGGACAACGTCGACGATGGCATGGGCATGCAAGGTGGCCGGACGGCGGAACGGCGGCGACGGCGGGTCCGAGGGAGTCACGCCTGCGATGGAGAGAAAGGCGAGGAAGAACATCGAGGTCTTCTGCTTGGAGCCGTGGCGGAGGTAGTGGGTGTGTTGCGGCATGACGTGGGCCTTCTCCATCAGCTCGTACGCAGTGTTGACTACGACCTTGGCCACCGAGAGCGCCTCCTTGGCCTCGAGCGCATTGATGGTGTCGAGGACAGAAACCTCGGTCAGCCACCAGCCGCCCAGTTTGGACGGGATGACATCGCCGACGACCGTGTCCGACGGTGGCGGCGCATCGTTGCCGTTGACGTCGATCCACCCGTGGGTGTGCTCCGGCACGGCGTGCATCCGCGCCTCCAACACCTGCAGCTGTGCCCAGACGTAGCCGTAGTACATGTGCAGTCGCTTGAAGAACGCCTCGGCCAGAGCCGGCTCGGCAGGCAGCAGGACCGACGGATGGTACACTTGCGCCAGCCGCAGGAACGCCCGGAACACAAAGGCCTCGTCGGTGTGCCGCAGGCCAAGGTCAGCCAGTCGTGTTGCCACCGCCTCGCCGCTCCGCCGCAGCATTTCCACCGTCTCGGGCCCGGCTGCAGTTGCCGGGGTGACTGCGGCTGCCGGAGCGTCAGCCTCGCTCTCCCCCGGCGTCTCAGCCGACTCGTCGGCCTCCAGCTCGATAGTGAGAACCCGGACGGCGACGTCGACAACCTCGCGATACGTTGCGCGCGGCACGTCGTCGGTGACCATGGTCAGCAGGTCGGCGCCAAGCGCCACGGCGTCGACCTCAGCCAGAATGTCATGCTTGAAGAATGAGGAGAGCACCCGCTTGGCGGCACCGACAAAGGCATCACCCGGCCCGCTTCCGTCCATAAACGCCGTGTGTGCAGCACGAAGGCTTTGGGTCAGCTCGGCCTGGTTCTGGATCGAGCCGACTTGGAAGAGCGACGAGAGGTCGAGACTGGCGCTTGCGTTGTCGGCACTTGCACTCGTTGCGCCTGTCGAGTTGGACTGGTTGAGATCCTTGAGCACCACTGACCGGTACGACGCCGTCGAGCCGCTTGCCGTGCCCGATGCCGAGACTGAGCCGTTTCCGCTTGCAGTCGCTTCCACCGGCTTGGCGGCTTCAGCCGCAGGGCGGGTCTTGCGCGGCGACGGCTTGAGGGCTAGTTGTTCAAGCCGCTCACGCTCGGCAGCGGCGACAACTGCAGCCACAGCAGCAGCAGCTGCGGCGGCGGCGGATGCCGGTGAGGAGGCGGGGCCGGGGTTGAGGTCGGTCTGGGCCGGGTGGGTGGGCGCGGGCGTGGATGCGGGCATAGGTGTAGGCTCAGGGGCGGGCGCGGATGTAGGCTCAGAGGCGGGCGCGGATGTAGGCTCAGAGGCGGGCGCGGGTGCAGGCTCAGGGGCGGGCGCAGGGGCGGGCACGGGTGCAGGTGCAGGCTCAGGGGCATGCACGCCGTGCGGATTGCGCATCGGCTCGGGCGCACTGTCGAGAAGCGGCGCTGAGACAGGATGGCCGCCAGTGAGCGCGCCGTTGACAGGTGCCAGGGCAAAGTCTGCCGAGCCGATGGCAGCCTCAAAGATGCTGCCTGTGCTTGCGGGCACCATGTCGCCGGTGTCCGAGACCGACGGCGATGGTGAAGGCGACGGCGACGGCGACGGGTCGATGCTGCTGTCCTCCGGCTTCCTGTGCTTGCGGCGCTTACGGTGCTTGTGCGACGAGTGCGACGAGTGCGACGAGTGCGACGAGTGCGACGAGTGCTTGTTCTTGTGCTTGTGCTTGCTCTTGTGAACAACCCGAACAGATGACGAGACGACGATGCCATCGGCGTTGAGGTCTGCTGACGGAGTGTACTCGACGAGGCGTGCAGCCGTTGATGACGACGGCTGGCGAAGGGCAGACTTGTCGAGCGCAGCAGGGGTCAGTGGTTTGCCTGTGGGGAACAAGCTCGTGCTGTCGGTGCTGGTGTTGGTATCAGCGCCGGACGGCTCGGCGCCGGCCGGGTTGGCAATCTGCAGTGCTGCCGGAGCCTTGGAAGGTGGCGAGGCAGGCGGAGGGGAGGCAGGCGCAGCCTGCGCCCGTGGTACATACTCGACAAGCAGCGCATGAACAGCGCCGGCGATGGAGGCAAAGTGGCGCTCAAAGGTGACCGGCTCGCTGGGCGCAGTCAGCTCGTTGAGTTGAAAGAGCGAGAGGTCCATGGGGATGGCAGCGAGGCCCTCGGATGCGGCGGGGACCTGGACCAGGATGTCCCTGCAGTCGAAATCAGCCATAAACGCCCAGCGGTGGTAGTACTTGTCGAGGTCGAGAACAGGCGCGGGACCATCAAAGGCATCGGCGATGAGCTCAAACAGCATCTGGCCCGAGAGGGCAGCACGGAGAACAGCACGAGCACGAACAACGTCCTTGGCATCCCTTGGCAGATCATCAACCTCGGCACGGACGCCTGCGGCTCTCTCCGATGCTGCCAGGAGGGTCTTGAGCATAGCCCAGAGGGGATCGATGCGGAGTAGCCGAGTCCGTGATGAGCCAGCCTTTAAGCCGTGTCGCAGAATGGCCTCCAAAATGGCTTCCAAAGGCGAATACACAGGATGTGTCCGAGTCAGTCGCTGTTGCATTCGCCTGTCACCACCACCACCACCACCACCACCTTGTCCGTCTCCTCCATCATTGGCACATGCCGAGCCGCTCGTGCCTCCGCTCGTCACCGGCTTGCTGGTCGACGTGGAGGAGGTGCTGGTGGTGCCCATGGCGAGGACGACCAAGTTGACTGCAGAGGAAAAGGTCGAGAGGAGCGACTCGCGCGCACGCTCAGCATCATGTCCACCACTTGCCATGGGTATGGGGTGGTGGAGTGGAATGTGTGTGTGTGGTGGGGGTGGGGGGTGGGGGGGGTGTTGGGGGTACGGAGGGGAACGGGAGTGTGGCGGCGAGTCACGTTTGGCGAACGTGACTGGCTCGTGGCAGGCGCCAGCGGCATGCTGGGTGACGACGAGGCGATGGGGATGGAACGAATAATGGAAAATCACGTAGAATTATGTGTGTGCGGGGAGGGGGAGAGGGGGAAGTGTCTACGCAAAGAGAACGAGAAGCGAGGCAACAAAGGCGACGGCAGCGACGAGGAGCGGCTGCGCGGCGAGGCCAAGGGTGGCAGACGACTGAGCGTTGATGTTGGCATCAGCTTGCGAGCGGTCGATCTTCGACTCGGGGTCCCACGACCACGAGGTCTCCGAGGTCTGGAATGAGGCGTAGGTGCAGACGTACTTGGCGGTGCCGACGTTCTCGGAGAGGGTGTTGAGGAAGTCGGGCTCGGAGCGCCAGGCAGAGGTGATCTCGCCGCAGTCGGAAGGCGCCGAGACAGCGACGTCGAATTCGGCGCCAGCGGCGGTCTTGGCCTTGGGCGCAAAGCCGATGGAGCCGGCACCAACGGTCAGAGTCTCCGAGGCCGAGTTGGCAGTGCCGGCGGCGGTGGCCGAGGCAACGACCATGCGGACGCCGAGAGCCTCGCCGGCGGCAAGGGTGATGCCAGACGAGGTGAGATCGCACTTGGCATCGTACGGCTGGTAGCGCTTGTTGTTGGACGGGGCGTCCCACTCCTCGGCACCAAAGTAGCAGATGTACTTGAGCGTGCCGCCGTCGACGTTTGAAGTCAGCTCCCACTTGTTGATGGTGACCGATGTGTTGGCGGCGCCGGTGGTGGTCACAGTCGAGGAAGAGAAGCCGACGTTCGAGACGGCGGTAAAGGTCGGGGCAGTGCCGGTGCCGGCCACGTACCCGTTAGGATGCTCCGACGTCTTGTACTTGAAGACCGAGTCGAGGAGGACAAAGAAGGCCGCGCCACGGTAGCCGGGCATGCCATTGTTGTTGGCATTGGAGATCGAAGTACCGGCGTTGGCAATCATGTACGCCGAGCCGGTGAAGAACGGCAGAGTGGCCGGCATGCCAAAGCCACCAGAGGAGTAGAACAGGAAGGCCCTGAACTGGATACCATCAAAGGCGTTGGCGGCGGCCTGCGACGAGCCCGAGGCAAAGGTGGGCGCCATGTCGAGCTCGGCGCGGACGTAGAACGATGAGAACGAGATGGCCAGGCGGTAGGTGCAGGTCTCGGAGCAGGTGTGGCGGTCAGTAGCCGGCCACCAGCAGTCAAAGATCTGAGTGATGCCCGGCGTGATGAGCTTCTTGCCGGTGGCATGGTTGCCCTCGACGCACATCCCGCCAGCCTTGGGGTTCTCAGAATCGCGAGTGTCGAGCCCAATGACCCAAACACATCCAGCCTCGGCACCGCAAGAGCACGACGACGAGTGCTTGTCGCAGTCGGACTGCGCCCGCGAGGTGACAGCTGTGGTTTTGGGCGGTGAGGTGAGTAAAAGGAAAAAAAAGGGAGGTGAAAGTGGTGGAGCGGGAAGAGGGGGAAGAGGAGGAAGGGCAGATAGAGGAAGGAGAAAAGAAGAGTGTATGAAGAGGTGGAAAGTGTGCAAATGGTAATGGTAGAGGGGGGGGATGGAGGGAGGGGAGGGGATGGGAAGGAGGGAGGGGGAAAGAGGGAAGGTGAGGACGGAGAGAGGATGAAAAAAAAAAGTGCAAGTGCGAAGAAAAGAGGAAGAAGAGGGGAAGACAGGGGAAGTGGGGAGGGGGGAAGTGGGGGATGGGGAATGTGGGGCTGTGTTGGAAGGGATGGAGGAGGGAGGATGGAGTGTGGTGCTGTGGTGGTGCTGTTTGGTCTGCGTACAGTGCTCGGGAGTGGCAGCCATGGCGGAGGCGATCTTGTCCGACAACTCATTCTTCAACGCGGCGCGAACGTCATGCTCGGACGGGGTGTACGTGGCAGCAGCCAAGGCAGCAAGGCCAAGGAGTGCAAGAACAAACACAGCAGCACGCATGGTTTGTGAACAAAGTCAACTGGTCAGCCAACAGAGTCAGATGTGTCTGGTGGTGGTGGTGGTGGTGGTGCGGGGGCAGTGACTCCTCAGCCGTGTTCTGTGCCCGCAATGACTACGTGTCGTTGCGCAACGGTCTCCACCACCACGTGTGTTGAGCACGTGCCCATGCCCCTAGCTGACAGGCACAGCGTACTCATACTGATCATCGGCCGCATGATGCCGGAGCATGACGGGTTGGTCATGACCGATTCCGGGCTTGGATGGCTGATCTAGTGGCGGAGAGGCCATTGCGGTGGAGGTGGCCTTTCGGAGGCTCTAGAGGTGGCCACTTGGAGGCTCCGGAGGCTCGCCCACGGGCACGAGGCGACTTGTCTCTCAGGTGGCAAGGAGATGCTTACACGACGGATTGCGAGTGCGGCCGGGTGCGGCGTGGTGGTGGGCGTGGCTTTGGGCGTGGCTTTGGGCCGGGTGCTGGCGGTACGGGCGGTGCGGGCGAGCATGGCCAAGCTGGAGGCTGCGTCTGCACGACGGAGCGCATCGGTGGCTGCGCTGGCGGCCAAGGCCGGGAGCGAGCTAGAGACAGCGAGTACGATGGTGGCAGGTGAGGGGCGGGTCAAGATCCATGCGCTCGAGCCCGAGTCTGTGGTCCTCGCCTCACTGCCGACTCGGGTGGCTGAGGGCGTGGTCATCGAGGTACCCTCGTGCGACAAGGAGGTGGTCATCGATATCAAGGTCGATGCCGAGACCGGCGCTGAGCTGTCGGGCAACAAGGTGCGTAAGCTGGAGTATTTGATGGCGGACGCGGTGAGGAGCGGTGCCACACATGTGGTGACCAACGGTGGCGCGCAGTCAAACTTTGCTCGGGCTACGGCGCTTGCGGCGCGCCGGCTCGGCCTCACCCCGCTCATGCTGCTGCGCCAGCCCGGGCCCGGGTCGAGCATCGAGGCCGAGGAAGCCAAAGGCAACTTGCTGCTGATGCGGCTGGCTGGGACTCGTATTGGTTGGATGCCGCGTGATCTGTTCTCCGAACCGGCACGGCGGATGGAGGCCATGCGTGCGCTGGGCGCCGCCGAGGGTGCTCGCGACACGACGTACGTGGTGCCGCAGGGCGGATCGAATGCACTCGGCTCGTGGGGCTACGTCCGCATGGTGGCCGAGCTCCTCAACGCCGAAGGCGGGTGCCGGTACAAGACGCTGGCGCTGGCGGTGGGCTCGGGCGGCTCGTTTGCTGGCGTTCTGCTTGGGCGGGCGCTGCTCGGCCTCACTGACTCGCTGCAGGTGGTTGGCGTGCCGGTCTGCGACGACGCGGCGTTCTTCGACAAGGTCATTGCGCGGATTTTTGACGAGTTCAACGCTGCCCATGCTACGCAGCTTGTGCCGGGACCGTACACTCTGCTCGATGGCTACGTGGGCAAGGGCTACGGCATCGCCTATCCCGAGTCGATGGCGGTGCTGGCGTCGGTGGCTCGGAAGGCAGGACTTGTCCTCGACCCGGTCTACTCGTCTAAGGCCCTCTATGGAGTGGTGCACGCGGCAGCAACCGGAAAGATCGCACTTGCAGAGCCGGCGTGCTTTGTTCATACGGGCGGCATCTACGGGACGCTGGCGCAGGGCGAGGGAGCGCTGGCGGCAGCCAACGGGCGCGGGCAGTGAGAGCAGGCGGCCGGCTACCCAAGGTTGTGGTCACCAGACTGCACCGCGGCAGCGGGCGAGGTACTGGTACGGCGAGGAGGCCATGTTCTTGGCAATGACATCCATCCACTCTTCGCGCTCCTCAGAGGACGAGGCCGCCATGAGCAACGACTTGTGATGGCCCTCCTCCATCTTTCCGCCGGTCCGCTTGCCGGTCTTGATCTTGTCCTGAGTCGGCGAGTAAATCTCAAAGGCGTGCGGCTTGACGTCAGAGAGGCGGAGGGCGAGCGACTCGAGCGGAAGGATGCCCTTGGGCGCCGGGTCCTCCTCTGACTTGAAGTAGTAGAGGCAGTGGCCAGTGAGGACAAAGTAGCGCCGGCGCCAGGTCGGGATGCGGCCGCCGCGCTTGCGGAGGTAGCCCTTCTTGTTGGCGTCGGCAAAGGTAGCGGCGGTCTCATCCTCGACCTCCATGGCGATTGGGTTGGCGGCAATGTCGTCGTAGAGCGCGGCGAGGAGCTGTGTGTCGACGTCAGAGCCACCGTCGATGCCGCGGAGCCGCGAGGAGAACTCGTCCTTGGTCATCTTGCGCTTGATTGACGGGTTGTGCAGGTCCGTCTGAAGCATGATGAGGGCAAAGGCGAGGATGTAGACCGTGTCAGCGTTGGCAAACAGGCCCGGGTTGTGGGTCACGTAGCGGGAGGCAAACGACTCCATGAGACGATCGATCTTCTGGGCCTCGCCCGGCAGCCGGAACGTGGCCAGAAACATGCGGAGAGCCTCGAGGACCGAGAGGTCGGCGTAGTCAAACAGCTTCGAGAACGCAGTGACAACCTCGTCGATGCCCGGCTTGTCCGAGCCGAGATATGCGCCGATCTGCGACTTTTTGAGGCCCGGGAGCTTAAGCAGCCACCCTGCGCGCTCCTGCGGCGAGCCTCCGTCAGCAAACAGGCCGCGCTCCTCCATGTACTGCCAACACTCGGCCGGCTTTTTGTTGAACCGCTTGGCAGCGTTGGCCAGCAGCCGCTCCTTGGTGTGGAGCGAGGAGCCGTCGTCGACCACTTCGGCTATGCTCAACCGTGAGCCAGTCACACCCATGGCCGCGGCGCCGATCATAGGGCCGGCATGACGGTCCTGACTTGCGACCTCGGTGCTGGGTCCGTCGTCATTCAGGTACACCAGACCGTCAGAGGTAGCCTCGCGCTCGGCCTGCGACGCCGCAATAACGAGCGGGCGACCGAAACGGTCGCGCGAGATGGTGTCTTTGCGGGTGCCTGGCTTTCGGACAAGAACATACAGATCGCTTGAGCCGTCAACCGGGCGAGTCAGCATCGGATGCAGGTCCGACGACGACGAGATAGATCCAAGCGATGAGGTTGCCTCGTCGTCTGAGCCCAAAGCCGCTTCTAAAGCTCTGGCCTCTTCTTCTGCACGGATTTCCTCTTCCATCTGCAGCCATACCAACGAGTCATACCCATCAGCGTCACCAGCCCAGCCCCATCAGGCATCGATCCATGTCCCCCCCCCCCCCCACCACCACGCAACACGCCATGCCACCATCCCCAGCCGACATCACCAATGTTCGCCATGTGCAACGACACCGACCCCCCGTCCCACCAGCACCAGCACCAGCACCAGCACCAGCACCAGCACCAGCACCAGCACCCATACCCATAGACACATATACATACACACCATAAGTCACCCATACCCATACCCCCCTCCCCCCCCCCCCCCCCCCCCCTTCCCACCTCTCGCACCTCTCCCACCTCTCCCAGGTTCGTACCGCAGCGATTTCAGCGTCGAGCGAGGAGACGTCCTTCTGGACGCGGTCATATTGGGTGCGGGCAAGGAGGCGCTGACTACGGGCCACGTTGACGTCCATGATCACTCTCTCCACACAAGGTGATGTTGATGATGATGATGATGATGATGATGTTGGATGTGAGGGAGAAGGGAGAGAGACTCAGCCGTAGTGCTGTCCGTGGCCGTCAAGTCACCTCTCTGCCAAGCGCGCAGTCGGCGGCGACTCACTGTGGCTGTAGAGAGAGGTGACTCGATCGTCGCCGAGAGGACGTGATCACCGGCCGTGAGGATGCAAGAGCTGATTGCAATGAAGGTCCGCTTGCGCTTTGGTAATACATAGAACTCCATCTATTCCAAGTTTTCGGTTCCAGAACAAAGTAATGCCTATAGTAGGGGGCTTCAAAGCTCCCGTTGTGCGCGTACAGTCACAGAAAACGCTCGGGAGCCGGGGCGACTCCAACTGCCCTTGCTCGTGCCCACCATGACCATGGGGATCGTCCCTCTTTCAGCGGTATGAAAAGCAACACTATGCGGATCAAAATCGTGTGTGAGCTTGCTTGACCCTGCCATGGCCTATAGTAGGGGGCTTCAAAGCTCCCGTTGTGCGCGTACAGTCACAGAAAACGCTCGGGAGCCGGGGCGACTCCAACTGCCCTTGCTCGTGCCCACCATGACCATGGGGATCGTCCCTCTTTCAACGGTATGAAAAGCAACACTATGCGGATCAAAATCGTGTGTGAGCTTGCTTGACCCTGCCATGGCTAGTGCGGGCTCGAGGATGGCGTCAGATCTCGCGAGGCAACGTTCGAGCTCAGCTTGCTCGACCAGCTCGTCGCTTCAACCACCGACAGCCACCAAACGCCCCCCCCCCCCACGCCCCCCCCCACCCCCAATACGTGGTGTGGTTAGGTAAGGCAGATCCGACGTGAGAAGGTCCGATCCTGACTTGAGCCTTTGCGGCAGGCGGCGCGCGCGCCGGTTGCGGCTCAACGGGCACAGGTGAGAAGTGCAGAGGGATAGGCTGGAGTCTGACCACATCTCTACAGAGAGCCCCGCTCGCGCATAGTGGTACGCAGGCCACGTCTGCACCTCATCACCTGGCAGAGAGTGTGCAGAGTGCAGGTTGGAGCAGGAGCGGTGAGAGCATGTCGCGCAAGCTGCTGTACCCGGGGACCAAAGCCGACCGGCTGCACTACGTCACCATCCGATTCGTGCCACTGTTGGCGGTCGGAGTGTGGCTGCTGTGGCCGCTCTACGCACCACCGACGCTTGATCACGCGGCACTGACCGATACGAGTCGACCCGAGCCCAAGGCATCGTTTTGGCTCTATCTCACCGGCTTTGCCTTGCCGTACTCGCTCACAGCGTCGGCTGTCGGCTACGCGCTCTACGGCCTTGTCCTCCCGCTGCCATCGATGCGGATCCTCCTCCCGTTGGCCGTCGGTGTTTCACTGCTCGACAGTGGGCTGCGCGCAATGGCGTTCCTACTCGAGTGGTCACCGTTGAGCATCGTACTACCGCTCTGCACTATTCCGGCCTCCATTCCGTTCTTCCTTGTCCTTGGCTGGCACGCGTACTCACGCGGGCAAGATCGTCACGCTGTAACTGAATGGCTCTCGGCCCGTAACGATCGCACGGCCCATCTCGTCGACTTTCTCTTTCGGAAAGACATCGCCCCCTCAGGCTCGCCACATGCTGGTGCTGTGGCCGCGGGTGCCGCCAGCGCTGCTGATGCTGTTGCAAGACATGCGGCGGGCTCATCGTCCGAGACCACAAGCTCGGGGCCGGGATCGTACTCGGACGCGTACGAGAGCACCAGCCCGTCGGCATCGGAAGCACAAGAAGTTATGTGGGTCTCCGACTGGGATTCCAGCGGCTCCAGCAACGGCCGCTCAGAGATTCTCGGCGGGCCTGTCCGGTCGGGATCGTCGTCGCCGGAGCCTACCGTCGAATCGTATGCAGGCACGGAGTCGGAGTTGGACCTGCGGTCGGGATCATCATCACCGGACGAGTACACGGTGATGAGCGAGAGCTCGCGATATGTTGCCGATAGCAGCGCGGCGTACCGTGCTGCAGCCGCGGCTGGGCGGCGGCGGCAGCGACAACGACTGGCGCGTGGTGGAGAAAGCAGCAGCATCAGCACTCAAGACGGATTGGAGGCCTTGAAGTGGAGCGAATATGCCGAGGAGCACTCGTTTGTGCGCACATTTCTGTGGATGGCTGCGTTGCTTGTGGTCATCCTGGTCACGTACGCCTTTTGTCAGGTCTTCACCGCGTTCTTCATCGAGCTCTCACGCGAGTCTCTGTCGGCCACCACACAGGCTCTCTTTGTCTTTGCCTTTTCGGTCCCGCTCCTCCTCTTCAAGACGCTGACCAAGTTTGTGGTCGGCAAGTTTGATGCAGTCCACGAGGCCGACATCAAGCCTGTGGCATTGTACACCATGGACCTGTTCTTCTTCGTCTTTCAGCGCAACCTGTTCCTCGAGGTCGAATCATACGCGGTCATTCTGTTTGTCAACGTCTACGATGTCCTCGTTGACGTGGTTGTGTACGGACTCCTTGCGTCGCGGCCGTCACACCGGGTCCAGTCGTGGTTCGCGTCATCAGTGCAGTCGGTCCCGTGCCTCGGCACTCTCGTCCCGCGGCCGGTCTCTTACGAACTCTTTGTCCAGCAGTCGATCATGGACTTTTTCTTCTACGTAGTCGCTGAGACCATGTCACTCATTGCCTTTGGCAGCTACACCGTCCTCCTCCACTACTCGCATAACGCGCCGGGCTATCGGTTCTCCGAGCGCGATGGCGTGGGCCACGACGATGAGCTGCCACGATTTGTGGCATACATGTTCATCACCCTCGGCTTCTCCATAATCTCGGTCCTCCTCATCCGGTACCTGCACTCGCGGGCGCTCAATGTGACTTCGTTCGAGGTCGGCGCCCTCGTTCTCCGCGCCCCGCGTGTCCGGCTTGCCCTCGTCCTCGTCGCCATTCATGTTCTTCAGGATCTGTATCTTGCCATCTTCAAGCTCAACTTTGCCGCGCCATGAGCCATTCATCTCGCCTGTCATGATGCGGTCCACTCGTACGACTCGGCCGCCCGCAGCCGCCCACTCCATCAACGGTGAACTTGTCCACTTGACAGACCTGTCCACCAGGCTTTGGAGGCGACGTCTACGATGACAGGCCCGCATACAGATCATCAAATTGCCCATTCTTTCCCCCCGCATCCCCCCGCATACGTCAGCCAGTTTCGTCACGACCTCGCCGGGCGGCCTTCCCGCGCGGGCGACTCGAGGCGCGAGCGGGGATTTTAGCCATTTGCGTTCATCGTGCCAGCATTGACCAGATGCACCAGAGCCGGCACCGGCGACAGGCATGGCCACGGGGAACAATGGCGGTTGTGGCCGAGATAGGCAAGCTTGCGAGCGTAAAACGCTGCGGGATGGAATGTACATTCCTCGCTCGACCCAGTCTCGACATAAAGTCGGTCTCTCGCTGCCCAGGTGCGGAGGTAAAGACTTGTTGTTTTGTGGTACATTTGCTTGACGGTGCGGAGATGATGGCCAGGTCTGACCATGACGGTCATGGGGACAGGAAATGCCCCGCGAGTCAACCAACACCATATCAATTAGGGTAGAGTGCATGTCATGGCTTAGGGTGGGTGTATGCCCATGGAAGCGAGCTCTTGAGCAAAAAAAGGCGGGAGAACAATATGGCAGGCTTCTGCGGCCCCAGACCGACCCGTACTTCGGGTGCGGCGCATTAGGGCCGCAGCAAAGCCCGCGATGACCGCTTTGGGAGCAAGGGGATGTCAGTCGTTGACGGGGCGTGGACTGCCATGCGGAAGCGGATCTAGAGGATAGTAAGCGGTAGAGGCTGTGGCAGTGGGTAATGCGCATCCGTACACATAAACGGCCTGGAACTTAGTACCTCCGTCTGCTTCTAGCCTGCCTGACATGGCTTGATGACCCCAATTACGGTTGGATTGCCTCACCCGGTGCGGAGCCTATCCAATGAACGATAGTGACAGGTAGTGAGCACGAGGGTGTCAGTTTTTGCTGAAGCGGCAATTAGTACCAATTAACGCTGGCAATCTCAACGTCGCACAGCTATCGCCAATTTTCCGACCTGCTACACCCAGCCAAGTACAAGCCCGCTAGCACCAGCCAAAGGCCGTACGTGCCCACAAACATGCAGACCGACACGCAACAAGATGCAGAGGTCGACCACCGTCATGCCAAGCGCATGCGCACCCTTGACGGCGCCGTAGTAGCCATGCAAGGGTTCTCAGCCCGCCGTTTTGACGGCGAAGCGACCGCATCTGCGGCCCAAATGCGGACAGACACACCCGGGATGCGCGTCTCTGTCAACAAGGACGACATCACTAGAGGCATGGAGACCCGTCCCTCACCGGGGGGACCGCTGAATGCGCATACCCCTGCCATCCCTGAGAACTCGAGGGAGAGCTCGCGGAAGCGGCCTCGGTCGCCTGGGCAAAGTGGCTCGGAAGACGACACACCACAAACGTTTGTTGACATGCCAAACGTTTCTGGTCGCGGTAAGTTGTCAAGTTTGGACCACACTCCCAAGGTGACGCCCACCATTAACTCGTCCAGCAACTCGTCCAACAACTCGTCGTCGTCCAAGTCCAACACGGAGTCACCTCAGGAAGGATCTGACCCCCCGTCGGACATGCAAACATTTTCGTCGTCGTCGTCACGCGAGGCGGAAAGCTCCGGCTCCGCCGCCTCACTTGGTAAGCGCCGCACGGTCAACCACAAGCGGCGACTTTTCGATGCCAAGGTGACAAAGCTACTTCGGTCTTGGATCGACGCCCACAAGGCCGACCCGTACCCGTCGAGCGCTGAGCTTGATGAGATGTCCGAGTCCACGGGCCTGAGCGTGGCCCAGCTTCGCCAGTGGTTCGCCAACGCGCGCCGCCGGACTCTCAAGCCATCGCGCAACTCGGGTAAGATGCGGTACCGCTCATTGTCGACAGAGTCGTCTTCGTCGTCGTCACTCCTGGGCATGACCTCGGGCATGCCTGGCCAGAACTACTCAGTCATGATGCCAGGAGCGCAGTTCGGCCACTACCCGCAGATGATGTACACCTCATCGCAACTCCATGCTGCGGCCATGCAAGCGCAGGCCCAGGCTCGAGCCGCCCAGATGCACGCCAACCAGTGGGCCCAGCGCATGGCCATGTACAACGCCATGGCTGGTCCCCAGTCGCACATGCCGCCGTCGATGCCGCCGTCGATGCCGTCGTCGATGCCGCCATCGATGCCGTCGTCGATGCCGTCGTCGATGCCAACCACCTCGATGCAGCCTCTCTCCATGACCGGCCCCATGCAGGGTGGCGACCCGGTCATGCAGCGCCTCCAGGCTCTACAGGCCCAGCAGAACATCCTTTCGAGGATGCAGTCACTGTCGGGCAAGCCTGGTGCCGTCTCGTCTTTGCAAGCTTCCATGCCCGTGATGCCCTACGGCAATGTACAGGTCCAGAGTATGCAGGTCCAGAGTCAGCTGGGCTCACAGCTGACCCAGCTCCAGGCCCAGATGTCGTCGTCGTCCATGCAAGGTCAGATGTCGCAGACCCAGATGACAACCTCGCTGTCGCAGACTCCCATGCAGCTCACCTCCATGTCGCAGACCCCCATGGCGGCCTCGATGACGACCTCGCTTCCTCAAGCTCAGATGATTCAGGCTCAGGCCGCTCAGGCCGCCCTGGCTGCCCAGGCCGCGCAAGTCCAGGCCACCCAAGTCCAAGTCTCACAAGCTCAGCCGTCGCAGCCGCCGGCAACGCAGGCCCAGTCCGACCAGGCTCAGTCCAGCAAGCCTCTGGCCAACCCACAGTCAGACTCGTCGAGTGATGAGCCTACTGCGCCAAAGTCCCGCGAAGCCAACACTCCTGAGCAGGTCTCCCCGTAATTTGACCTTCGTTGCTAAACCAATCACTTCCAACTGTTGCTGTCTCCACGGCCGGCTGTCCGTCGCGGCACAATGTCGTCGGTGTTTCTTGTACCATCTGGTCAGCGGCCGCATCGGCAATTGGTCCGTCTGCGAGCCCTACACATGGTGACAGGGTGCACCAAAGCATCTAGCCGCAACCACAACCACGCGTCACCTCTACCTTGCCACCCGCATTGCTGGCTATGGCCTAAACACCACCAATTCCTCCCACAGAGGCTGCCGACAGGGAAGCTTCTCGCGCCGAAACAAATTGGCCAAATACCCGCATCCTCACTCACACCCAAGCATCGAGCACTCTCTCGACGGCTAACCCCACCCTACACGCTAATTCACGCGTGTCGACAATATTCTGTTTCTTCCCCGTCTCGAGCCCTTGTCTACTTGGGCGGAGCGGTTGTGTTGGTCTGGACCCGTCGAGACGACAATGAGCCATCATCGGCCAGCATCAATCAAGTGCCAAACCGCTAGCTGAGACCGGCCCGGCCGTGGTTGAACCGCTTAAAGGTGTAGCCGAGGAACGGGTTGACGCCCTCGGAGAGGCGGAGGACTGGGGCTGCGGCGTCGGCCCGCGAGTGCTCGGGAATCTCATAGTCAAAGTACGAGGTGTCGATGGGCGAGGCAAGCTGCGGGGTGAACGGCGCCTTTGCCGAGCGGATGTTGTCCCAGTCGACGCCGGCAAAGAACGGGTGATCCTTGAACTGCTCGATGGACTTGAAGCGGTCCTCGGGCGCACAGACGAGGTTGCGGATGAGGTCCTGCGCCTCGGGCGTGACCGAGGCCTCGGGCGGGAACTGGAGCGTCTTCTTGTGGTTGAGGATCTTGTGGTAGGTCTCGGACGAGTTGCGCGAGCAAAACGGCGGGTAGCCGACAAGCATCTCAAACATGATGACGCCGAGTGACCACCAGTCGGCCTCAAAGCCGTACCCGGTCCGCTGGAAGACCTCGACGGCAATGTAGTCGGGAGTTCCCACGGTGGAGAACGCGAGCTTGCGGCGGTTCTTCTTCCACGTCATCACCCGCCCACCGTGGGTGGCGAGCGCGTCGGCATCCGACCCGTCTGAGTCGGAGCCCTTGCCCTTGCCCTTACCCTTGCCCTTACCTTTGCCCTTACCCTTGCCCTTGCCTTTGCCACGGGCGTTGCTGCTCTCGCCCGAGTCGACGAGCTGGCCATGGCCAGAGCTGCCGGGTGTGGCGAGGTCGGCGTCCGACTCGTCGTCGCCCTCGTCGCGAGTAAACGACTTGAAGAACCGGGTCGAGTGGGCAGAGCGAAAGCCGGTACAGAGGCCAAAGTCGGAGAGCTTGAGGTAGCCGTTACGGTCGATGAGGATGTTGTCGGGCTTGATGTCGCGGTGGATGTAGCCCATGCGGTGAATCGAGTCGATGGCGCATGCAATCTGGACCATGTAAAACCGGGTGACGTCCTCGGGAAAGACATCGTAGTTGATCAGCATGGTCATGAGGTCGCCGCCGGGCACAAACTCCATGATGAGGTATAGGTGGGCCTCGTCCTGGAACGAGTAGTAGAGAGTGACCACCCAAGGGTTGTCTGCAGCCACAAGAATGTCGCGTTCTGCCCTGACATGAGCCACTTGCTCCTTCTGCAGCATGTCTGCCTTGCGCATCTTCTTCATGGCAAAGATCTCGCCCGACTCGACCATGCGGACGAGGCGGACCTCACCAAAGGCGCCACGGCCGATGACCTTGACCGTCTCAAAGTCCGACTCGGAGAGCTTCCGCCTCCTCTGGCGGGTATACTCTTGCTCACGAACAGCAAGGTCGTTCCGCAGCTGCTGCTGCTCAACCTCGGTCAGCCTCAGCTTGACCATGTTCTTCTCCAGCTTCTTCCTCCGCTCCATGCGCTCAAAGTAGGCGACGGCAATGTCCTCGTAGTACTGCTCCACGAACATCTTGGCCGCCTTGGACTTGTCACGCGTCCACTTGGACGCAGTCGGCACAGACGCCATATGTAGTGCGTGTGTGTGTGGTGGTGGTGGGGGCGGGGGGAAGGGAATGGGGGGGGGAAAAGGGGGGGGGGGGGGGGTAGGGTAGGGGGTGGTACGGGTACGGGGGCCAGACACCCGGGGGGGGGGGCTATCCCGGCAAAGGGGAAAAAAAGGGGGATCTTAAAAGGTGGGGGGGGGGGGGGGGGGAGGGGAGGGGGGGCATGGGGGCGATCGTGGTGATTGGGAGGGTGGTGGTGGGATGGGAATGGGGGATGGTGTTGTGTGTGGTGGGAGGAGGGGAAGGGGGGGAGGGAGTTGGTGTAGTAGTGATGATGGTGCTCATGATGGTGAGGGATCGGGAGGGGAGGGAGGGCGGGAGGGGGGGCGGATCCCCCTTGACACGGGCACGTCGGCGAGGACAATGAGTTGGCGGAGGAGGAGGAGAAGGGAGGAGGGAGGGAGGAGGAATGGCCACAGTTTGACTACCATATCACTCTCTCACACACCACCTTTGAGAGGTACGAGCCATGAGCGACCACATGCTGTTGTGGCCCGACATGGCGGTGTGGGAGGCTATGGTGAGCAGACGAACCGAAGCCATAGCTCTGGTCACCGCCACCACCACCACCACCTCCTCCTCGCTGCACTCCAGCAGCTCAACTGAAGCAGCCAGTGCTGATGGAGGAGATCGAGGCGCTGGAGATGGAGCTGGGAGCGACGGTGATGATCACATCTCTCGAGCAGATGTCGGAGCGGTGGCGCGAGCAGCGGCTCGGGTGGCGGCGTTAGAGGCTGAGTATGTGGCAGCGCTGGACGAGCTGGTCCACGTAAGCAAGGCCATTGGGGCTGATGTTGCCGGAAACGCGACTGAGGCTCGCACAGGCGATGAGGAGAGCGCGTCGCATGATGGTGCGAGCCGGGTCGCTAGCGAAGAGCTTGTTGCCCACTTTGCGCGGCTGGTGCTCGGCGCAGATGCGACGTCGCCGCCGCTGGCGGTGCTCATCACGCTTCTGACCCGAGTCGAGGACGTGTGCGTGAACAGGGCGCTGACGGCGGCGGTGTTGGCGGTAGCCGAGGAGACGCCGGACTTGGACGCCATTATCCGCAAGCTCATCTGCGAAGAGGTCTACGCTTCCGGATCGCGACACCTCCTGTTCTGCCGATTCAAGCCGGTCTCCATGCTGCTGGAGGCATTTGTCGACGCCCGCTGCGCTCCGCTGCTGGAGGCGTGCGTGGGGCCGATTGTGGCCGACGTCACTGTCGCGCCGGTTCCGCACTTTCTGCCCGGCCGGGCGCGTTCATCGTCGCTGACCTCGGCCGAGCTGGCACGCAATGATGACTCGGCCGACTCGCAGCTGGAGGCCTCGGTCCTCTCATGGTCGCTTCGCCTGCTCGACACTGTCACGCTCTCGGCCCACTTGGTGCCTGCCGCGGTTGTTGGCCTCTTTGTCCACCTCCGCGCCACCATGGCCAAGCAGTATCCGGACCAGCCGGCGCTCCATGTTGCGCCTGTTGTTGTCGTCCTCCTCCTCCGCTACTTGGTCCGTGCCGTTGCCGATCCGGCGGGCTATGGCCTGATTGACGCTCGGCCATCGCCCGGTCAAACCCGCGTCTTGCGCGCCGTCGCCCGCAAGTTCCGTGCCTTTATCACTTGGTTTCTCTGGCGCTCAAATCCGTCACTTGACGATCTGCTTCAGCCCTCGTTCGATGCCATCACTTCGTTCTTCTCTGCCATCTCGCTGCCTTCCGGCCCGCTTCCGGAGCCGCCGCGGCTGGACCCGGGCCGTCTCGCCGACCGAGTGGTCGAGGCCTGGCGGGTAGGCAGAGCCGGATGTCCGACTGCGGTGTGCAGCTTGCGGCACGGCGCGGTGCTCGCGCTCGGCGCAGACGATGCACACCCAGCCGACGCCATCAATACCCTTGGGCTCGGGCTCAAGGTCTCGGACGTCAGCGTGTGCACCCGCAAGGCGCTTGGCACGTTCCATCAGGTCTGCCTCCGCAAGTGGCCGATCCTCCGCACCGGACTCGAGCTCCGGCTGCCGACAGTCAAGCCGCTGCGCGAGGTGGTGGAGGCGCTGGCGGCCAAGCCCGGTGCTTTTGGCGCGGCTTGCTCTGGGCGCGGTGCCGAGCCTGACTCGCCGCACCTCCTTGTGCCTGCCCTCCCGCTCCATGATCTCGTTGCCCGCATGAAGCGGCCGGTCTTGCCGGACGTTGCGCTTAAGCTCGACGACGACAAGTCCTTTACAGGCGCGGCGCTGGTGGCCTGGATCCAGGTCCACACCTCTCACGGCGAGCACTACTACGCGTCCAAGGTTGCGCAGGAGCTCCTTGATGCGCGGCTGGTGTACAACGTCAACAATGCATCGGACAGCATGTTCTCGCCCTCGCCCGAGACCCAGTACCGGTTGCAGGAGGACGAGCCGGCGCGGGTCCTCAACCGGTTGGCCATCTTTGACAGCACGGCGCGTGAGCCACTGCAGGTTGCGCGCGCGCTCGTTTCTGCTGCGCTCGTCCTCTTTGACCACTTTGGCAATATGCGCGGCGACGTGCTGGCACGGCACCTCAAGGTTCTACGGTCATCAGCGGCCTTTCGCGCCTTTGCGCTCGCCACCACCGAGCTGCAAGGCGTGGTGCTCGATGGACTCACATCTCAGGAGCGGACTGCTTTCTACATTAACGTCTACAACGTGGCTTACATGCACGCGTCGATGATCTCGTTGCCGCCGTCGTCGCCGCCGTTGCGGGTGTCATACGAGAAGAAGGTGTCGTACCAAATCGGCCCGCTGGGCGTGGTCTCGCTCTTTGAGATTGAGCACGCGCTGCTCCGGGCGGGTGCGCCGGCAACGCCGCTCATCGCCAAGTACCACGGCTCGTTTCCGCGGTATGACGAGTTTGAGCCTCAAGCCGCGTATGCCTGTGAAGCTTTTGAGTCGCGGCTGGCGTTTGCGCTCTCGCACGGCTGCCTCTCCTCGCCGCTGGTGTCCAGCTACTCGGCAAAGCATCTCTCGCAGGAGATGTACGATGCGACAGCGGCGTATGTGCGCGAGAACGCGGTGCTCGACGTTCACAAGCAGTCTGTGACGGTTCCGGGCTACATGCGGACGTATGCGTGTGACATCGGCACGTCGCACAAGGACATCCTCTACTTTGTCCTGCAGTACGCGTCGCCGGCGATGCGGGCTTCGCTGCAGTCAATGATCCACTCGGGCCTCACCATTAACCTGCTTTTTGCGCCGGACTCGTGGCATGCCTACTACTCGGTCTCGGTGAGCAACGCCGTCCTGCCATCTGAGCCACAGGGGGCCGTGACGAGCGGGTCGGCCTCAGCCTCGGCCTCGGGCTCGCCCCCGGACGCCGGCTCGGGTGTCCTTGGGTACTCGCTTCATGATCCGCGCCCGCCCAAGGTGTATCGCGGGACCGGCAGCACTTCGCCGCGCGAGATCGAGGCGTTGGACGTGGCCGCAAGCGCGGCAACCAACGCGGGTTGTCCGGAGCTCATCGGCACATCGTCGCTCTTTACTCCAGCCATGCTCTCGTCGCTCTGGTCGTGGATCCCGCGACGCTACACCGACGACACGTTTGCGCTTGTCTTCCAGACCCAGCGTGACGGGTACAACATGGAGACGCTGCTGCGGCTGGCTGACAACCTCTCGCCGCTGGTTCTCGTCCTGCAGACTACCCGTGGCGCGGTCGTCGGCGCCTACCTCTCGACAGGCTTTGAATCCTCGTCGACAGGCTCATTTTCTGGCTCGGGCGAGACCTTTATCTTTTCGCTTCACCCAGACATGCGCAAGTACACGTGGCGGCCCGGCCGGCCGGCGCACTTTGTCCGCGTCACCGACGCGCAGATCGCCGTCGGTGGCGGTGGCGGCGTCAACGCCGGCTATGGGCTCTGGATCGATTCGGAGCTCTTGCACGGCGGCTCAGTTCGCTCGCGGACTTTTGCCAATGACCCACTCGTTGCGCCCGACACCCACTTTGAGTGTACCAGCCTCGAGCTCTGGGCCTTCTCCACCGAGCTCCCGGCCCATGTCCTCGCCGACGTCCTCGAACGCATCACCAGCAACAGCCCAAGCCTCTGATGTGAACATCAGCCAAGTTTGGAGACTCTGATCGAGCGAGTAGCATATTCCGTCGCAATGAGAGTAATGTTGTCTCCTGATGCAGGTGGGCGTTGGGGGGCTATGGCGGTGGGTGGGTGGTTGGCCGTCGGCTGGGGCCACCCGTCTCGGCCATTCGTCAGTGACCACGATGAACTCGAGCCAGGCGCCGGGGCCAAGGCCAAGTACGGCGACCTTGTTGTGCTCTTTGGCGGACGGCGCATGCTGTATCCCATCATCCTCTCCCAGGGAGAGACAGTACACGTCAAGGCCGGGCTGTTCCACCATGACGATGTCGTGGCCAAACCCTTTGGCACCATTGTACGCAGTGGGTGGCACTCGAGCCGGAGCGGGAGAGGGGAGGATGGATGGGGAGGAAGGGGCAGGGGGCAGGGGGCAGGGGCAGGGGCAAAAGGATGCGTTTTAATAAAGGCTAACTGGGCTTTGGTATCGGTAAAAGAAAAAGCCGACGGGACAAACATAAAGACTCTCGA